GTCCCAAATTTGGAATCAAGAAATACACAACAAACTCCATTACATTCAACCGAAACTTACGCCCAGGAAACCACTATATCTCCTACGAAGAGAAAAAGTAATCTTTACCAGACTAAAGATAAGACACACGCACGTCACGCACAAACATTTGCTCGAAGGAGAGGAAGCTCCTTTTTGCGTGGCATGCAACACAAATTTCACAGTTCGGCACATCCTAACGGAATGTGTCGAATTTAATGATGTTCGTGAGAAATATTTTAAATGTAAAGATATTAAGACCCTTTTTGACATCATAGAGCCTAGAAAAATTTTAAGTTATGTAAAAGAAATTGGACTATTTAATAGAATATGAAAATATATAGTTATCGTTATCGGTGTATATATACATACACTGAAATTTATATTGTATGTACAAATGTAAATAAGCCTTTTCCATATAAAAAATTTTTTTGTATAAATGTTTGTTCGTCTTTTTAGCATAATGAAACTAGTGTGATCGTATGCGGTTGCGAGCTCCGAAAGACTCTTACTAAAAACACGTCTGATTTTGTCGCGTGAAACCTGTTGGCGCTTAAATGACCAAAATAGTGTTGATAGTGCCGTAAAACATCTACCCAATCAATCAATCAAAGTTGTCTTGAGTGACATTCACATTTTAAACCCAAGAAATACAAGGAAAGATGAACTAGATTTAGACAAAATTAGATTTAAATCAACTTGAATTAATTTCCGTTGAATCAAGAACACTAAAGCACGTTATTAAAGATTTTAAAATGCCATAAAATATCATTCCAAATCGCCATCTTCTTTTCCAAACAAAACAACAGCGCAATTATAAGACTCACTTTGGGACGACTGCACAATTATAAGACTCACTTTGGGACGACTGCGATGTATTGTAAGACTGGGCTTGGGACGACCGCATTAAAAAGCACCGTAATTGAACATTCGAAGGTCCTGTTGAGACAATGATGAGCTAACTGGCCAACGAAGCCACTAGCGTCATGTATCGATAACTGGTATACAATGTTGCACTCATAAAAATAATCATTTACTTGCAACTGTCAAGAAAACAGGAGTTGAAGTGGGTTTTTTGCTTTCATATCGTGGTCGTCGCAGTCTTACCAAAAAAAATGGGGTAAAAAACATTGCAAAACACTTACCTTTGGTGAAAACACAAACACAGTTCAAGAGACCCGCTACTGACGCTGAACTAGAAAGCATCAGTTTCGTAACAGGTTGTCAGCGTTTGTCGGAAAACTACAGGAAGTGCCGACTTCAAACGTCCATTCGGCAAGTCTTACAAAGAGTGGATCTTTAAAGACGGCTCCAAATTTTCATAATTTTTCGGAAAGATTAACAAATATCCTCTGGAACTAAAATTTAAATGGCTACTTTATTGATAAAAAAAAAAGTACGATTGAACACTTTGAAAGTTCAAAAAGTGTTGTTGTTTCAGCGGGAAAAGTACTGCCTTACGAGGCTTAAAAATTACCTTGACTTTTCTGGCTTGGCAAATTCGATCAAAGTCACGTACAACAGTTTTTTAAATTTTTTATAGCCAACTGGTGGCTCCTTATTTCATAATACTCTCTTGGATTTGTCGATTTCAAAGATTTTCATATGAAATACGAACATGCTGTGAACCTGGTGAAAGTGGGACATTGCCGTAGGACCGGATCTTGGCGTTTGAAGCCCTTTAATGTAATATTTGACCTATAAATAATTAAAGCAAACACATTTTTATGATTTTCCTGTTTAATAATCGTTCAAACAATGACATAAAACAAAACAAATAGCAAAATGATGTTTTTGGTAATTTTTATTCAAAATGAAAGTTTCAAACTGTCTCCCAGGCCCTTACCGTGAAATCTACCTTTAGCTCTTTAGCTAATGTAATGCTCCCCTCCTGAAGAGGGAGTTTACTCAATTTACTGCACACCTTTTTTCTATTGCTATAGCTTGTGTCTTTTGATGTTTGTAGATATACGTTATGTATGCATGTATTAGTAATGTGTGAATATCGTTTTAGTTGATAAAATAGAAAATTCACAACTTTTCCCTTTTGTCCAGGTTTCAGAATGGTGTACAGCATTTCAAGGTGTTGCGAGACGGAGGAGGGAAATATTTCCTTTGGGTGGTGAAATTTAACTCCATTAATGAGCTGGTCAACTACCACAGAACAGCCACAGTCAGTAGGTCTCACGACATCTACTTTAAGGACATGGTGAACCACGATTTAGAGGTAACACTTTACATTTTTCTCCCTCCTTAGATGTTAATGATGTAGGAACTATTATCATTACTATCATATCTTTTTCCATGTGCTTGGTCTAAATGTTTTGTTTTGTAGCAATCTATTGTACAGAAACCTACAATTTTTGTTAATCTTAAGCCGAATTTATATTTTTTCATTTTAGTCATTTAAGATTATAATATAAATCTATGTAATCTTTGAAATGAATAATTTTTTGCTATGTCAGTACAAAACAGCTTGTCATAATGCTATTTTGCAAATGGGGGAATTAATAGCTCTAGTTGGAGAGGATAGTAATTACTTTATTTCGCTTTTACATCATGTGATTGTCTTGAAACTATTCTAACGAAAAACATTGTTGCTTTGTGGAGCTGATAGGTCTATGGGCTCATCTAATGTGTAACTTTTGTTGCCTTGTTTCTCTTCCTTGCTGGACACAGGTTCCGAAAGTCCGTGCCATATTTGATTTTGATGCACAAGGATCCGATGAACTTGGTTTCCGCAAGGGAGATGTGATCAAAGTTACTCAAAAAGTGGACAGTAGTTGGTGGAGAGGTGAGCTTAAGGGCCAGGAAGGAATGTTCCCAGTCACGTACGTGGAACGCATTCTTGTGGATTAATGAGACTGACGGGGTTCCTAGAACCTCTGTGATTGAACTTTCTTGCATTTTGGGAAGGACAGATTTTGTGGACACAATGCATCGGTATTCAGGATTGCAGACTGGATTCAGGAGAATGTGTTTTAGGCAAAGGATCTAGTGGTTATAAATCCAGTTCTACTCTATTGAATATTTGTTTTTAGTCATCTTTGATTTTACTCTTGTTGCCTTGTTTCTAGTTTGATGATTGTGATGTCTTGCCTTCATTTATTTGGTTTTTCGTGGTTTTCAGTAGCTATTTTTTTTTTCCTTTTTTGTATGTAAAACAAATCCATTGTGTAGAGTGATAGATGAATTTTGCATAGTTTGTGTGGTTTGGGAGAATTGATGTATGTTTGGGTTTTTTTCGATGTAGAACAAAATTACAACATAGTGTGCACCATTTAAATCATGAAGTAAGCAGTAAAAAGTTGAGACCGGTAGAAATGTTGGCTTGTAGCACATCTGCAAGATGCAGTGGCAAGTTTGACACTTTTCATGACGGTAACTCTTTGTTCACTGCCAGTTCAAGGTGTTTGCCAGATTTTGGATACTGTGCTTACCAGTTTTCGTGGGTGATATTCTTCTTTCTCTTTTGAATAAACATTGAATTTAGCTACTCATATGAACTGGCCTTTTGTCATGATTGACTGGCTTTTGGTCATGATTGATGTCACCTTAAGGATGTTGATGGCATGTTTCGGTGGTTGTCCTATTACGTTGTTCCCGTTAACCCTCCTAGTGTCGATGACTGATTAGATTGGTGGTGTTGTGGCTGATTTAATCGTCCATCATAATTTGAGTTCCTATTTCGATTGATTTATCATGTTTTTTATATCGCCAAACATTTCAACTTCTTTACAAATTTGTTCTACTTCCTATTTTAGCATTTTACTTTCTGAAAATGTATAGGTTATGGCCTTCACTTGCTTGGTTTGCCTTTTCTCGAGCTTTATCGAACATAATATAAAATCATATAATTTCTCCCGATGCCCCAGGCTATTTGTTATCCACTCTTGGAGGGTCAATCGTGACCGAGATTTTGTGTATCTGTCCTGACTGATAAAGCTAAGAGTTTGCACATGAAGAATGTCTGGTCATTTTGTTGGTACAGTCTAAAGAGAAAGAAGTGGATTATTATGGAAAGAATTTGACAGCTGTAAAGTGGGAAAGTAAATTATTATTTGTTTGATTGAAAATAAATCCTTATGAATTGGGAGAAAAAAAAATTATTTTGAAAATAATGAAAAATAAGATGTAAATTGGAAATAAGAAGTCTCATCAGCATGCGGTAATAGTAGGTGGTTTGTGTGCGTCAGTGGCCTACTTCTAGAACTGCCTGCGTCCGTTCATAACCAGGGCATACGTCTCATTCAAAAAACGCCAAGTTGGTAGCTCTAGATGTTTGTCCAATGAAATTATAATAAATTGACCCACTTAGACATATGGAGCTCGAAAGGATAGCCAGGAAACTAGACTTCCATTTTTCTATTCAAAATCTTTCAAATGAGCTTGATTTTGTATAAAATTATATTACCTGATAAAAAAATAAGCTTGTTTGATAGTTTTGAATACCATTGTGCAGATAAAAAGAACAATTTGAGTGCAAAACATTCGGAAATTGACCTATATTATCTCCTTTCGAACCCCAGATCATTCATAACAACAAGAGCGAATGGGCGTAACTACTACACTTTATAAATGGGAGCATTATTGTCATCATCGATTAACACACTCCCACGGTATTCACGGCGAAAACACAGGTTTCCAGGCGCGCTCGCTGTACTTCAACAGTACACACTGAGTGACCCCAGCGGCCTGCCCGGAACATCCGACGTAATAAGTTGCTGACAAGATTCGCTTCTCGGCACAAGACGCAGGACAAGAGTTAAGCCAGGATCTGGAGGAATTGAGTTGGAACCTTATTGCCAGTTACTTCCAACAGCTCCAAACCCTAGCCAGCCACTAGATATTCCCTGTTGCTTTGAACCTTTACATATTCCTTGATTACTTTCTCCTACCCCAAACCTGAGCTATTAACCATTTACTTGATTTCTACTGGCAGGTCCGAACCCTTGCTAGGTCCTTGATTTTACCATGTGGCTCAGAAACCTAGCCAGTTCTTTAATTTCTTCAGGCGGCTCTGAACCCTAACCAGTTGCATGATTTCTTAAGGAGGCTCGGAACCCTAGTTCTGGAGCTCCGAACTTTAGCTAATTCCTCCTGCGTTACTTTTAGCGGTTCCAAAACCTAGCCAGTCCCTCGGATACTTCTGGCGGCTCCAAACATTAGCTAATTCCTTTGTTACTTTTGGCGGCTCAGAACCTTAGCTAATCCCTTGGTTACTTTGGCGGCTCCAAACCCTAGTTAATTTCTTGGTTACTTCCGGTGCTCCAAACCCCTGAACTGTTTACCTTGTTTAGCCCCAAGTCAAAAACATGCTCAAAGGTAAATGGAAAATAGAGGTAAGCATCCTTCATTTTCAAAGCCACGTACAATATTTTGCAGGAAAAAGCACATGGGGGAGGGGGGTTTGAGAAGTGAGTAAATTGCAAAATCTTTTGGCGGCTAACAATGATAAGATGATCAGTACTAAAACAAAGTCAGTATCAATTTGTGTCATAACATTACACCATTGCAAATGTATGTTGTAAAAGACTAATCTGCAAGTTTTTATTTTATTTTCAAAACATCTACGGTTGTCCAAATTTTCTCGCTTTCCAGATATTACCATTACATATATACAAAGGTAAAATTCAAAGAAGAATTAAAATAGCCATAGAATTGTTGGCTTATGTAAAAAGGCATCATTACTTTTCTTTTGTGGCACTGTCAGGGAAATTGATTTCAGAATCGATTCTTTGCCCACGATTAGATTGCTGACTCTTTGAATATGGAATTAATATTTTTTTATGTCACACAGACTATTTTGCTGTTCTGTCCTGAGATTGGTCAAATCGTACACACTCTCATTCAATCATTCAGACATTTCAATTTATATTTATGAAGAATAGTTCCTTTGGTTGTGTTTTTAATATTTTTTTAATGATGATATTTTTCTCAGCTAGTTCACACAAAGGGACTCAAATGATTAAATCAAGGTCGAAATGCTCAAAGACACACAAGGACCACAAGATTATGTGGTAATATTAATGGATTAGGCTGAGATTTGTTGGTTTCTATCTCCCTTCTTGTTCTAAAGGTGGCATCACTCAGTGAGAAGCTGGGCATGTTGCTCGCATTCTGCACATCATTAGACGATGACAGAAGAACTGAAGAGAATGGTGGTCGGGTTTTTGTTGTTGTGGTTCTATTATGTGATCTTAGTTTTGTTTTTTTACAAATCCTTTCTTGAATGTTTGTAACCTATTTTGTTTTCTCTGTATTTGTGATTTATGCAAATTGTTTAGATGTTTGTGCGGTTGTTGGTACTTTTTCTCAACATTTAACTGGATTTTGTTTGGATTTTTTCAACTTAAGCTCAGACACAGGTTGTTTTTTATATTGATTCAGTGTAACTACAATGGCGAAGAAGAATTATTCCATTTTATGTATGTTGTTAAGGAGATTTGATAATTAAGATTATATTGTGTTTGATAGTTAAAACTAAATGTTGATGTTGAAGCAAGTATTATCATAAGTGAGTGATTCTCAGAGCAAATAGATTTTAAAATGTCTTGGACTTTTTGACTCATTAGTCAACTTTTCCCTTTCTTGTTCGATTCCAGTTTTGGGCATGTATATTCTTATTCTTCTTTGTTAGCTGTATCGTAGGAAACACGATTAGTGTAAGGGACGCTGAATTAATAACAGTCAAAGAATCAATTCTCACTTTTTTCAGTACCTTTTTTTTTTCTTTTAAGTTAATTCTTTTTGAATCGCACTGAAGACTTTTAGAGTCATTGACTCTTCGTGTGCAAATGACATGTGTTCTTTGTTTTGTTCACTTTTCCATTTAGGGAATGCACCACTGGATTAAGTGATTTTGAACACCCCTTCCTACCTTCTCGTAATAAGTATGTTTTGCTGTGTCTAGAAGTATTGCGTTTCTACTGTGAAACCCTTAGCCATTTCAGTCATTGACAGTGCCTTACATGTTCCCTTTGGGGTCTGTACAAGATCAACCATTTACATGGTATAACTAGGAGACATACCCAGTATTTGATCAACACTCTATATAACCATGTGGATAATGATGATGTTTTCTGCAGACTCCCTGGCAGTTGTGTGTTGTGGATACAAGCAGCTCATTCAACCAGTGTGTCATGTCAGAACAGTAGAACAAAATTATTGTACAATTTCATTGTAAGGGAAAAGTGCTCTCTGAAACGTTATTGTTCCTTCTGAAATATTCTCCTCTCAGCCCGGTGTTGACACAGGGTTTGAAGTAATCCACCTTTGAAATGACTTATTGGACGTCAAAGGGTAAAATGATTAACAAAAGCAGAGCAAAGATGGAATTTAAAGAAGAAAAACGAGAAGTAGTAGTGTGTGTAGTGCCTGATGCATCCCATGGAATTGGTGTGCCAACAGACTCAAAGGATTTTTGTAAAGTTCAGTTATAAACTTCTGTTATGAAGTGATGTGTGGCAATGTGCCAAGATGTAGTAGGTGGCTATTACTTTAATGTTCAATTCTTTTGCTGGCATGAGCCATGCGTCTCCTTTTTTAAAACAACATGAATCACTTTCAGACTTGTATGGTTAGTAGTGGTTAATAATGTTAATTGCGCTCAGTGTATATAACCTAGCAGAAAATTATTAATGAAAGCAAACAAATGAAATCCTGTCTACTTGTGTACAAATGTTTAAAATATGTGAAGAAAGAGTGAGAAAACAGTTAATTGACTAACAAAGTCTTGCTGTATTTAAAATATTGCAGTGTGATCTGTAAGGGGACATTGCATAAATTTGTGGGTATTGCAAAGGCATTTGTATCTCTCAAAAATCTCAATTTTTAAAATATGTATCTGTAAGATTATGTCCACATTTGTTGAGTTGCGGGGTTGAGGCTTTGTACTTGAAGAGTTGTTTTGTTTCTCAGTTTCTCTTTTCTTCTTTAAAGTCTTGGGCTTTGTTCTGCTGTCATATTATCTGAATTGATCTGCATAATGTCCTTGTCATTTGGGTTGCCATAATATTCATTTATGTGGAATACTGTGTATTTTACGTGTGGTTGAAGGGCTCCTCATGTGACTTCTACTTTCTACTCCTCCTTTTGACTTAAAAATTTATCTTACTTTTTTTTTCTAATACTCAGTAACAAGTAACAGTTATTGTGTAGGAGTACCTCTCTTGATTCAAACTTTGAATTTTCTTTCAATTTTAAATCAACTGAAGTTGCAGATAGTTTACGGTATGAAATATTTTACCCCTTTTATTTCTTAAATGTCTGCGATGAGTGCTTATTTCATTTAATACTGCAAGAATCGTGAATGTGCCAACGCTGTTGGGTTTGCCGAAAAAATAGTGCTGTGTATTTTCTTTTCTTTTTTTTTGGTCAAGATTGAGTGCTTTTTTGTTTTTGAGGACTAAATGAGATATTCCTTGTAAAAAAAACTGTCCAGCAGTTGTTTATTGGGTTTTTGTGTATTATATTATGCTATTTTTAGCGAGGAGCACAACAGAGATTCATCAACGTGTTTATATTCCATTCTCTTTAATTCATTTTTCCACCCCCATTGATGATGCCACTTGTGAGGAATTTGATTGTGGAAACAAGTATCCCCCAAACAAATGTCTCAAGTCTCTCCACATTCACTGTGATTCATGTCACAGAATTTACAGTCTTAATATATTGTAAAGTTACCTGGCGGTCCGGTGCGTCGGGTCTGTCAGGGGGCCCCCGTCCAAGGTAGGTGTTCTCTCGTCGTGGTCCTGAGTTCGACTGACTGTGTCCGTGAATCTCTCAGACGATGTCTCTCTTTTTTTCGCGCTAACCTCTTGACGTAATCCAAGGGCGTGCTACTCCCCTAATTATCTAGTTCCCACAGTAAAGATAAGAGTCATGTCCCTTGACATCACAATATATTATCATTCATTTCGTACATATGGGGTATGATGGACCTGGTACTTTTTATTTTTTTGGGTAGTGTTATAAATGATTAATTTACAGTTGTTATTCTAATTTAGAAATTTGTTGTTATTCTAATTCTTCTAATGAAACTTTGTCACATGTAGTGAATAAATCATCTTTGAATTCTTCATTTCGTACATAACTCTCAGTAACACCTAAAGCCCAATGACAATACA